GCTATAAGGGCAGCATCACCCAGAAAGAAGATATCCAGGTGACCTCAGGCTGGCAGCAGTAGAATCAAAGGCAGCAGCGATGGAATAGTGGTGCAGGTAGAGTTTATTGACAGAATACCTTGGGTTCAGCGACAGTGACCACAGAGGTAGCATGGAAGTAGCATCTGAGGTAGCCAAGACCGTGCCCAGAGAAGAGACCTCCAGGTATGGCAGCAGCATCTGTGGCCAGCAAAATTAAGTTTCATATTTGAAGATGAAATGAAAACCTTCCATGATAAAAATATATATATTAAAAGAATTCACAATAAGAAAGCCTACACTACAGAACATTCTCAACAAAATATTCAAAATATTCATCCTCCATGAGGATGAAGTGAAGAAAAAAAAGTGAATACCAACAAAGGGAGGATCTACACTAAAGGGACATCCAAAGAAATGAGAAACTAAGACAAATCAAAAACCAGAAATAAATCAAAATGACAAAGCATACAAACCATATCTCAGTAATAACTTTGAATGTTAACAGCCTAAACTCATCAATCAAAAGACACAGACTAGTAGATTGGATTAAATAGCTAGACCCAGCAATATCCTGTCTTCAAGAGACTCACCTCATGGCAAAGACATCCACAGGCTGAAGGTGAAAGGATGTGGAAAACTTATCACTTATATGAATTATGTCAACAAGCAGAGGTTTCCATCCTCATATCAGATAAAGTAGACTTCAAACCAAAGTTAATCAGAACAGACAAAGGAGGACATTTCATACTTCTTAAGGGAAGTATATAAGCAGAACATAAAAGTTATAAATATTTATGCCCCAAACAATGGAACATCTATGTACATCAAACAAACCCTTCTCAATTTCAAGAGCAAAATAAACTACAATATAATAATACTGGGTGACTTTAACACAGTTCTCTCACTACTGGACAGATCTCCCAAACAAAAACTAAATAAGGAAATTATAGAACTAAATGATACAATCAATAATTTAGACTTAACAGACATATATAGAGTATTTTATCCATCAACCAGCAAATATACTTTCTTTTCAGCAGTAAATGGCTCCTTTTCTAAAATAGGCCATATATTATGCCACAAAATAACTCTTGGTAAATACAAAACAACAGAGATAATATCCTGCATTCTATCAGAACACAATGGAATGAAATTAGAAAAAATTGATAAAATAAAAAATACAAGCTATTGTAACAAATGGAGACTAAATAATACACTACTAAGTGATAAATGGATGGTAGAAGAAATCAAGGATGAAATTAAAAATTCTTAGAGGTAAAAGAGAACACTGCTACAGCATATCAAAATCTCTAGGACACTAAGAGGAAAGTTCATTGCATGAATTCATTCCTTAAAAGAAAAAAACCCTAGAAAAAGAAGAACAAATCAACACCAAAAGCAGTAGAAGACAGAAAATAATTAAATCAGAGCTGAAATTGAAACAAAAGAAATAATTGAAAAAAATGGCAAAACAAAAAGTTGGTTCTTTGAAAAAAATATATAAAATAGGTAAACCCCTGGCCATTCTAATGAAGAGAAAATTCAAATTATGAAAACACAAAATGAAAAAGGAAATATCACAATGAACATGTCTGAAATACAGAAGATAATTAAAAACTATTTTGAAAATTTATATTCCAATAAAATAAAACATATTGAAGACATTGACAAATTTCTAGAGACATACAACCTACCCAAACTGAATGAGGAGGTCATACATGATTTAAACAGATCAATTTTAAGTAATGAAATAGAAAATGCCATGAAAAGCCTAGCAACCAAGAAAAACCCAAGTCCAGTTGGATTCTCAGCTGAGTTCTATAATACTTTGGAAGAAGAATTAACATCAACACTTCTCAAAGTATTCCATGAAATAGAAAAGGAGGGAACTCTTCCAAACTCATTCTATGAGGCTAATATGACCCTGATACCAAAACCAGACAAAGACACATCAAGGAAAGAAAACTTGAGATCAATATCCCTCATAAACCTAGATGCAAAAATTCTCAAAAAAATTCTGGCAAATCACATACAAAAACATTAAAAAGATAGTGCACCATGATCTAATGGGCTTCATCCCAGGGATGCAGGGTTGGTTCAACATATGAAAATGAATAAATGTAATTCATCATATTAATAGACTTAGAAACAAGGATCATGTGATCATCTCAACAGATTCAGAAAAAGCATTTGACAAAATACAGCACAACTTCATGTTCAAAACACTTGAAAAACTAGGGATAGTAGGAACATGGCTCAACATTGTAAAAGCTATCTATGCTAAACCCAAGGCCAGCATTATTCAAAATGGAGAAAAATTGGAAGCATTCCCTCCTTGAAACTCCAGCCACAGCAATTAGACAAAAGAAAGAAATTAAAGGGGTACAAATAGGTAAAGAAGAACTCAAACCATCACTATTCTTGGTGACATGATTCTATATCTGAAGATACAAAAAAATTCCACCAAAAAAACTTCTAGAACTAATAAATAAATTCAGCAAACTAGCAGGATATAAAATCAACACCTATTAATCAAATGCATTACTATACATCAGCAATGAATCCACTGAAAGAGAAATTAGGAAAACTATCTCATTCAAAATAGCCTAAAAATATTGGGAATCAATCTAACAAAAGAGGTGAAAGACCTCTACAATGAAAACTACAAAACACAAAAGAAAGCAACTGAAGAAAACCTCAGAAGATGGAAAGATCTCCCCTGATCCTGGATAGGAAAAATTAATATTGTCAAAATGCCCATATCACCAAAAATGTTATACAGATTTCATGCAATTCCTATTAAATTCCAATGACATTCTTCATAGAAATAGAAAAAGCAATCATTAAATTTATTTGGAAAAATAAGAGCCTCAGAATAGCTAAAGCAATCCTTAGCAAGAAAAGTGAAGCAGGAGGCATCACAATACCAGACTTTAAACTATACTACACATTTACAGTAACAAAAATGGCATGTTATTGGCACCAGAATACACTTGTAGAGCAATGGTACAGAATAGAGGACCCAGAGAAAAATTCACATAATATGATTATGTTATACTAGACAAAGGTGCCAAAAACATTCACTGGAGAAAAAATGGCCTATTTACCAAATGGTGCTGGCAAAACTGGAAATACATATGTTGCAAAATGAAATTAAACCTCTATCTCTCACCCTACACAAAAATCAACTCAAAGTGGATCAAAGACTTAGACACTAGAACAGAGACCCTGTGCCTAATGGAAGAAAAATAGGCCCAAATCTTCACTGTGTCACTCTAGGATCTGACTTCCTTAATAAGACTCCTAAAGTGCAAGAAGTAAAATCAAGAATCCATAACTGAGATTGATTCAAATTAAAAAACAACTTCTCAGCAAAGGAAATAATTAATAATGTGAGGAGAGAGACTACAGGTTGGGAGAAAATCTTTACCACATGCACCTCTGATAAAGTATTAATCTCTAGGATATACATATAGTACTCAAAAAACTTAACCCCACAAAACAAATAACCCAATCGAAAAATGGGCTAAGGAACTGAACAGACACTTCACAGAAGAAGATCAACAAATACAATCGATCAACAATCGATCAACAAATATATGAAAAAGTGTTCAACATCTCTAGCAATTACAGAAATGCAAGTCAAAACTACTCTAATATTTCATCTCACTCCTGTCAGAATGGCAATCATCAAGAATATAGGCAATAATAAATGTTGGCGAGGATGTGGGGAGAAAGGTTCACTCCTACATTGCTGATGGGACTGCAAACTGGTGCAACCACTATGGAAAGCAGTATGGAGGTTCCACAGAAAACTTGGAGTGGAACTACCATTTGACCCAGCTATCCCACTCCTGGATTTATATACAAAGGACTTAAAATCAGCATGCTGCAGTGATGCAGCCACATCAATGTTTATAGTAGCTCAATTCACAATAGCTAAACTATGGAACCAAACTAGGTGTCCTTTGATAGATAAATGGATAAAGAAAATGTGCTATATTTATATACTGGAAGGAATATTGTTCAGCTTTAAAGAAGAGTGAGATTATGGCATTTGCCAGTCAATGATTGGAGTTAAGAGAATATCATGCTAAGAGAAATAAAACAATTCCACAAAACCAAAGGCCAAATGTTTTCTCTAATATGCAGATGCTAATTTACAATAAGGTGAGGGGCACTAGGGAAGAATAACACTACCTTAGATTAGGTAGAGGGAAGTGATGGGGGAGAGGGAAGAGGATTGGGGATAGGAAAGATAATAGAATGAAACAGACATTATGACTATATACATATATATATATATATATATATATATATATATATATATGTATATGTATATGTATATATATATATATATGTATATGTATATATATATATATATATATACATGACTGCATCCAGTATGATTCTACAAAGTGCACATTCAGAAAAATGAGAAATTATATCCCATCTATGTGTATTAAAGTGCATAAATACATTCTATTGTCATGTATAACTAATTGAAACAAATAAATGAATTAACTTTTTAAAAGAGCAAGATGCCAAACGCAGTGTCCAGGAGGTCCACTGACAGAAAGTTCCAGGAGATCTGACCTGTGTTGATGGGAATTGGAGGTGGTGGGTGAGTGGGAGGAGCAGGAGGGCCTGTGAGGGGCTGGAACACCTGTATCCCCCACGGGGCAGTGGCTAAGGGGTGTAGGAAGTTCATGTTCACCCAGCTGGTCACTTTACATTCACTTACTGGAACACGTGTGCTTTTCTGGATTTAATTGCATCTGGCTTTAAATGAAGGCATGAGGGGAGTTACTGAGCCAGAGCCTCAGAGTCGGTTTCCATCTCCTCCTGCAGACACAGGAAGCAAGTTGAGCTCTGAGAACCTCCAAAGCCACATCTGTACAGGATTACTGGAGGCCAGTCACACTAGACACGTGAGCCCTTAGTGTGGTTTCAGTACGCAGCAATCTCCAAATCTGGCCACTGGCTGTGGAGTGTGTGCTGCTGGTCAGTGTCCCTCATGGTGGTGGTAGTGGGACAGCCTGCTTTCAGAAGTCTGAAGTCCCTTTCAGGCCTTTATCTTGAGTCTGGCCAGTGCTTTCCACCAGACCCAGTACCTCTGAGCATGCCCCATGGCAGAGGGCAGCTGGTGACACCATGTGACTCCCTGTACCATCCCTGGGAGGAGGGTTTGTGTATGGGGCTGTGACTGTGTGGGAGGGACTGCATAGTCCTGCTGGCAGTAATAGCTGGCAGCATCCTCAGCCTCTACCCTGCTGATTTTGAGAATGAATTCTGTTCCGGACTGTTTCCCGGAAAAACGGTCTGAGACACCAGACCATAGATTATCAGCATCATAGATGAGAATCTTGGGAGCCTGGCCTGGTTTCTGCTGGTACCAGGTTAGATAGTCGCTGATGCTCTCATTGGCAGTGCAGGTGATGGAGGCGCTCTCTCCTTGAGACACAGTCAGGGATTCTGGTGACTGTGTCAGCCCTGGGCTCCCACTGGCACCTGGGAAGAAAGAGACAGCATTCCTGTTTTAACTCCATTTCCCCCAGCAGACCTGGCTGTCCTGGTCCTGTAATCTGAGAGCACTGTGGGTCAGAGACGCACAGAGCCCTCATGTTAGAAGAGGCTATTCCTCAGGCTGTCCCCTGTGCTCCCTCCTCACCTGGACTCCAGAGCAGCAGAAGGCAGATGACTGCAGCCAGGTCACCCATGCTCAGTCTGGCCCTGCCTGAGGCTCCTGCTGCCCATGCTCACCAAGCAGCCTTTTCATGAGGACTCTGAGAAGCAGAAATGGGCTCTGGGGAAACATGCAAATCAGCAAGGGTGGGGCAGACACAGTCTGGCAGCTGCTGAGCCGACAGCCTGGGGCTCAGTTCCGGCTGACTTCCACACACAGTCCCAGAGGAGTTTCCTCTTGGCCAGTGAAATGAAAACACCTCTAATTTTTGTGGTCCTTCTTTGTCCTCAGGGTATGAGAGTTTGTAGTTAGAATAGGGCATCTTCCTTCTAAGACAGAGGGTGGGGGAAGCTGTCTGATCCCATAACTTAATTCTTAATATGAACATGTAATTGTCCTTCTAGAATTCCATGGAATATCCTCTTATATAGGTGGCTATGAAAAAAAAAAAAATGGCTCTGTAGTTTAGAGGAGATGCTAGGTGCCCTGGAGAGGGGATGTCCTGGAGCAAGTCCATGGCATACCACTTGGGGGTGCTGTGCACCAGAAGAGACTCAGATTATGGAACATATTCCCAAAGCCAGTGTGATCCTTTACTTTGGATATCGTGCATTTTGCTTCTTAACTTTTTCTCATTTTCTATATTATTTCTCCTATTTCTCTCACTTTCTCTGACTACACTGTCATAGCTTGGGGTAAGACTGTCTTCTTTGCCTGAGAGGGTTCCAGTGTAATTATTAACAGCTCTGCCTTTCTATCCTCACATAAAATTTTGTGACCACTATATATTCTGATTCTCCTTCTTCCAAGTACACTGAGATATTTCTTAACTAAAAGTCTTACATGTAAAATTAACAAATATTTTATATCATCTATTAATATGACTGATCTTTGTCTTCTTCTGTTACCTATTATTATGTTTGGTGACATTAATAAACATCCTGGACTCACGAGTTCCTGGGCATCATCATTACTATGGGTAAAAATGCAATTTCCAGTAGCTCCTTAAAAGAGTATCTCACTCAGGAAGCAGCTGAATTTCAAACCACCCTCCACTACTAGTACAAGACAGAGTAATAATTAATTTGAGTCTTGCTTTGTAAAACCTGGTTTGTGGGTATGTTTGTGGGGAGTGAATTTTTCATGTTTTGTCTTTGTCTTTTTTAAATTTTTTTGAGTTGTTGATGGACCTTTATTTAATTTACTTATATGTGGTTCTGAGAATCAAACCCAATGCTTCACACACATTAGGCAAGTGCTCTACCACTGAGCTACTACCTCACTCCCTTTCCTGTTTTTTTCTTAACATCTAGATCTTCATGTGTCTCCCCTCCTTTTGGAAATCTCCTGGGATGCTCCTTTGTTCCCTGCAATTTCCAAGCAGGTGGCTGTCAGTCTTCCTGAGGTCCAGCCACAGTCTTCAGAGGAATTTTAATCACACTACACTGCAATAGTATTTTAAGACAGACCTTTGAACAGAAAGGACCAGCCTATGAGAAGTTCCTGTAATTACATTTTGCATAAGTGATGAGGACTATGTATGGATCTCAGCCTTCCCAAAGCACTCGCTGCACAGTTCCCAATGCTCTATCTCCAATTTCATGTCATATTGTATCAAACTGAAAGCACTTTTATTTTATTTTATTTTATTATTTTTAGCTATGGAAGTTTTCTTTATTGATTGCTTGATGTGTAACAATAATTGGCATCTTTTTCACACATTACAAAAAATTATACTTGGCTCAGTATGCAATCTTTTAAGCATAGCCATATTATTTAACAAAAGAAGGGGAAAACCTATTCTACCCAATACAGCATTTACAAATGCACAAAACATGCCACTTTGGCTTGTATATTGTCTAGATTTAAAAAAAAATCTCTTTTTAACATAAATAAGTTAGTATAATTTTTCAGTGTCTTTACAGAGTTATGTACACAGGTACACTTCAAATGGTTTTGTTTCATACACTTACACAGGCAATGAAGAAATACTGTTTAAAGATGTAGTATCCATTTCCATTATTCCACAAGTGTGCTTTTCTTTACATGTGCTTTCCTTTAAAAACACTATTTTCCTTTGGGCAAATTAACAATTAGAGAAGATTAAAAATTATTTCATTTTTGTGTGTGTGTGTCTGTGAAGCTACTTATCAATCTTTAAAAATACCTTGGGATTTCAAATTGTTTTTACTGTGTCTACACAGCTCAAAGAGAAAAGAAAACTAAGACATTTTCTCAACAAATTTGGTAAATGTAGATGGTCAGTTTTGGGCATTCAAAAATCTCCATCACATGCCCCAGATTTTTGTTCAAAATTACTTGAAGTGATTACCAAACTGCTGAATAATTATCTGGTATATTCTAATTTTAAGGGAAACGGAGGGGGGGGGCGCAGGGTTAGAGACACTGAGAAAAACAGTTGTTGCTGTTTTTTTTGTTTTTAAAGACATTTGCTAGTACATAACGGAATCATAAGAACTCCCAAATAAGAATAAGCTTCATGTAAAAATAAATAGCAATTATTTGTAGCCAGTTTTCAAATTTTGATTTTAAAAATGAAATATCAGTGTCACTGAAAGGGACATTACATCTTTTAAAAAAAAGAAAAAAAAAAAAACAGTTGAAGCCCTTCCCCCAAATTGCTTCGGTTATGCAAGTCAAATATTTTTCTCCTTGCTATAAACGGAAGCAAGTTCTTCACCCCCACCCAGGCCAATTCCTCATCCCCACCCTGCCCTCCCTTCCCCAATGTTTATGTGCTACATAAAAGGTAAAAACTATATACACAGGTAGTACAATGAAGCAAATAAGGAAAAACCTAATTGCGCGATGCTACATCCAACGCTTTTAGAGGCAGGTCATTTAAGAGTGCCTAAAATTTTAGTGTTATTGTGTTGTTGCTTTTCAGTGCTTATACAGGATGTCTGTTCCATGGAGTCAGCGATATGTATTTAAATTTTTTTTCTTGTATATCTTCCTTGCTTCATCAAGCAATGACGTATCTGATAAACAAGGAAACACATTCTTAATTCGAGCTGGAGCTGTTTACGTTTGACGTCTTCGGAGGCCCGGCTTCTTGGGAGTCTGCTCCACAGAACCAGCACTTGGGGAACCGTCTGAAACACTTTCTTCTGTTCTGTTGGCTCTTTTGTTTTGAGAAGAAGAATCATCTGTTGCGGGTCGCTTCCTCATCCCTGCGCACTGCTCCGCTAACCCCGTCTGGCTGTCTGACGGGTCAGTCTTTGGGTCTACCAAGTGCGTGTCCTCTGAGTTTGCCTGGGACCCAATTAAAGGCACCGCCTGGCGGTTCCCGCTGACATCCTGGCTCTCCTGCGCCGGCACCTTGCAAGCGCCTTTGGGGGGCCGCGGGGGTTTGTAGTAGAACTCGGGCAAGCTGCCCTTCTCCACCTCTTGCCACTCGTATTTGCCCTCCAGGGGCTTATGGTTTTGAAAATCGAAATTCCACTTGCGCTGGCTTGCCTCTTCCATATCTCTGCAGTGCTTCTCCAAGTCCCGGGTTAACTCTTAATTCACGGGACAGAAGAGGTTTCTGCAGGCGGAGGGCTTAGGGTGCTCAGCCTGTCTGGCGTCCATCCGCTCCAGGCTCGGGCTCCCGTTAGACACTCGCACGTTTGACATTTTCCTCCCGGTCGGGTCTTGACCGCCTAGCTCCCTCTCTCAAAAAACAAAACCGAACACAACAAAACACCCCGACGCAGTCTGGACTCCTCTTATAAGCCCTGCGACTGCCCTCAGAGCCAAGAGAAACAAGCCCCAACGAGTAACTGCCCGAGCCTCAGGAGCGCGCAGGTCTGGGGGAGTGAGTGCGGGGACGCCCGGGACAGACAGCCTAAAGTCTCCGCCGATCAAGTGTACGGGCGAGCGGGAGGGCGGGGAAGGGAGGGGAGGAGGAAGGAGGAGGTGGCAAAGCCAGTCCAAGTCCAGGCTGGTGCAATCCCGCGGTCCCGCGAACCCAGCCGCTCTCCAAACCTTGCCGCTGTCGGAGTCGCGGAGCCTTGAGAAAGTGGGGAGAAGGGAGGGGGAGAAAAACACCCCGAAAAGACGAGCCCCCTTTTTTAGTTGCCCAATATGGCGGTGGTCCACTTTTATTTACTATATATAAATTTCTTAGTACTGATGTGTTTTTGCATTCTTGCAAGTTCTTAATATGGCTGCAATTACTATATTAAAATATATTGTCACATCATACTTTAATATATGGAAGAAATCTTAACATGCACTTTCTGTTTATGCATTTATACTTCTGAATGAAATGGTTTGCATTTTCCTTTCATGCTATTTTTTCATATCTTAATATTAAAGCTAATGAACTTTTATAAAGATATAGAAAGATGATTCTGGGGCGGGAGGGGAGTGGATCCAAGAGGGAGGCAGAATTCTGTGTTACTCTGTGACCTGGGTCTCAACTAGTGGGAATACTGCTTTTCTGAGAGTGATAGAGGACCCCTCGGCAGCTGCTCCCTCACAAAAGTCGTGGGCCGCCATGCCCACGCAGGGCCCCAGGCCTCAGCTTTAGGAAAGGACTCCCAACTACTCATCCACGCAGGTCTCGCAGGTGCCTTAAGGAACCACTGGCATCAGCACTGGTGCAGAATTTCCAGATGCTGCTCCCACGCAGGGTTCTCAGCGGCTACCCATACTCAGAAACCCCGGCCACCACTCTTATGTGAACCTCCATCTACCATCATCTCCATCTTGGGACTTGGCAGCCACTGCCAGAGTCCCCTACTCACAGTAGCTTGCCTGCACCTGGGTCATCTCAGGCTCTGAGACAGCTGAGAGCCGCAACACTGCATGCTACAGAGCTCATCTCTGAACGCATGGCACAAGGCCATCGCCCAGCTCCCCCCACCTGACACAACACCCCATTGCTGAAAGCAGCTGCCTCCATCTTGGGTCACATCTATCATCATCTTTAGTTGGGGCAAAGACCAGTTTGGAGCACCAGATAGCCAGGTACCCATAGTTTTCTAATTCCCCCTAATCCCCAGCAGCTGCTAACTCAGCAGAATGACTGCTCAAATCAAAACAGCCCTCTGGGACAGGTGTGCAACCGCCAGAGTGCAACACACAAGACC